ATGCATCGTTTTGCGGTATAAAAGAAAATAGGGTATCTTCCACACTCGCCCAGTACACAATTGTTAGGTGATCGTGTGGAAACACGAAGGAAATATCTGCAAGCAAGGTATTGAATACGCTCTAGACACTCATATTTTTTAAACCCCCAATCCTCCGAACCATATGTTAAAATAGGTAAAATCGTGGAATCAAAAATTTTAAAGAATGAATCATAATTTAAAGGACCGATTTTTCTAGTATTTTTCATAAATGCTTTTTTTTAGCTTGTTGTGCTAAAGACTTCGCTTCAGGTGTCCACTGTAACCGACATGATAACAAAATTCCCAAATATTTGTAATGTGAGACTACCCCCAGCTGTGTGTTTTAAAAATACCACTTTTCAGATTTGGCTAGGTGACCCCCCGCTTTGAAAACGATTACTTTTGTTTTGTCCAAGTTCACTTTCATTTTCCATTTATTACAATACCCCTCAAGCTTACGAATTAATCTTTGTAGGCCAATGACAGTGTCCGAAAACACCGCAATGTCGTCAGCAAATAATAAACAAAAGAGTTCAATGAGGTCAGGTGAAAGTTGAATACGGTACCATGGTGAGGGGACTGTTGTAGTTCAATAGCTAGTTCATTAATGCAGAAGGACAATAGGAAGGGACTCAACATACAACCTTGGCGGACACCAACTGGACCGTCAAAATATTCCGTATACTGATTTGATGTTCTAATACACGATCTAACATTGGAGTAAATACTAGCAAGTATACGGAACATTTTTCCTGTCACCACGTATCAGGGGGAAATTCTCTCCTCTGGGGGTCTCCACACGTGCCAGGGGGGGGGAATCTCGTCTCGTCTCTATATTGCGTCCCCTGGAGGTACGGGATCGGGAAAGTCACTTAAACTTTACAGTTGAATAGACGCATACAACAAAATACGGTTCAACTCTCGTCTTAGTCGGTCAGTCGAGTACTCTTTAAGACACAGCGCCCTGGGGAAAAGTCCCCAAGACTATCGCAAGGCTGACCATAGACTAGCCCAAGACTTCGTCAAGACTCGCCCCAAGACTTTCCAGGACTGGACTGCCTCTGTCGTGGAGTACCCGCCAAGACCAACTCAAACAACTCTTTATTCACTTTCAAAACCTTAACCAATTACAATGCAGTAAAAGACTCTAAGGCGTGGCCTTCACACATTCAGCCAATCACATTAAGTACTGGAAACGTCATATCTTTTGATTAATCGTTCACTACATTAATAATTGCGAATACTAACTGTCAGAAATAGTAGTCCGAATAGCGACGGTTATCTCGTAATTAGTTCCAAATCACTGAGTCGAGTTCCGTCCAGAACCTCAAATGGCCTAAACGATGCCAGACATAACACAGCCATTCACTCGTAATCAACTAATTAAGTCGATAAACAGATACGCGAAAACAATTTCATCATACCCCACCCTTTATCAAAATATACCATAGTCGCTGTCTCTCTACCATGTCAAAGGCCTTGGAAAAATCTACAAAAACACAATAGAATTTCCCTCTTTTACGTGTGATGTATTTTTGTACTAAAGATTGTAGAATAAAGATATTATTATTATTAAGTTGAGTACCCGTGCCTAAATTCTGCCTGTGCTTCATTTATTTTGCCAAGAGCCTCCGACCAGTAGTAGAGTCAACGGTTCAAAATAGAGGTGAAAATTTTACCAAAAATACTGAGTAAAGAAATTGCCCTATAATTCCCTGGGTCATCAATCGGGCCTTTTTTCTAAACTGGGACAATAATCTCTTTTGACCAGATACCTGGGAAATTAAAAAGAATATTTAGATAGGGAATCACAAATGGTTCTGAATTTTTGAAAAATTCGTCAATCAGACCGTCTGGACGTGCTGATTTGCCGTTTTTGATATGTTTCAGACTTTCATGTATCTCGTCATCTGAGATAGGACCATTCAAAATGTCCCAATCGATTTACATACCACCTGGAAGAAAATAGTCTACTTTACTAATTAAATTTTCCAGCTCGTTTGCCAAAGCAAAATCATTATTGGATTTATTTTGTGAAAAAAGGGTACTGGAATATTCAAACCATTTTTGAGGATTTATAGATGACCCTGGTTACCCAGTAACATGACTTTTAGTGTAATTTATCTGCCTAAACGTTGACCAAAATGACTTATCTTGGGTACGAGTTAGACGTAAACTTAATTGTGTTTTGTAATGGAGTAATTTATCACGGCACATATTTTTAAACCTAATACGGATTGTATGGTAGTTATGTAAATCTTGCATATTAGATGAGTTGCGAAACAAACGTAACAACCTGTATTTTTCTGCTTTAAGTTGTTTACACTCCAAATCAAACCATGGCGGTTGTTTTCTAGACTGACTGTATACCTTACGTAACATGCCGCTTTTATCAGCAGCAGAACGTATTAAATTTATAAATACATCAACAAAGACATCAATATTAAAACCCGGGGTTTCTATAAAACTATTTGGATATTTACCATAAGAGTCATTTTCTAGATTTTGAACAAAAGAATTGGAATTGTCTGGCTTCCATACATATTGTGTAAACCTACTAGTATGTTCTGTGTTGTCATCAGCAACCGTTGATGGTAATCTATGTTGAATTGGCATTTTAAATGAGAGTGGCATGTGGCCGGATTCAGTACGCAATCCAATACAAAAATTTGTTATTTTAGAAAACAAGGGTGACGAAACTAGTACATAGTCGACAAGACTAGCACCATTACTAGAAAAGCATGTGAAGTCACCAATGCCAGTGTCGTCACCAGACCCGCCATTCAACATATGAAGATTGAATGTACAACATAACGAAACAAGTGACTGCCCAAAAGGATTTAAAACAGTGTCTTTTGAGGCACGTGGAATGTTGAAACTATCAGCATTATATATTGGGAAATCGTTAAAAACAATTGTTACGTCGTTGTTGACAATAAAATCTGGCTGGCTTCCAGACCTGGTATTAAAATCGCCAACAATTATTACATCAACTTCACCTAATTTAGACAAAATAGTCACCAATTCACTTTCCAACAACTCAATACCATTTTGTGATTCAAGTATATTTTAAACAGTAGAGTTTTGTGGAGGGATATGGACGTTGCAATAGAGAATGTCCATATCTGAACGAATGAATTCTTTTCTAAATAAGAAAAACAAGCAATCATGTAAACTTGATTGAATACTTTCAGTATAATTAACAATCTCATTTCTGATAAGCGTCATAACACCTCCAGCAACTTGAAAGCGTGTTTTATCAAACCATAAAACCAGGAAAATCATTTGAAAATTGGTGTTCGTGTTCAGCCCATGTTTCGGATAATGAAATAACATCAAATGATTTGAGGAAATGAACGAAATCAAGTGAAATAAGTTTGTGTTTAAAACCTCTAACATTCCAAGACAAAAAGTTTAAAAATGGCCCATGGCCATGTCCCTATAGTGTAGCATCCCATTGCACCTCTATCGCTTGACAGCTGTCTATGCTGTAGTCGTGTTCGTGGATTTTTAACTCGTTTCGGTGAAGCTGCGCTGAGGTCATTTCCAATACCTATCTCAGCCTCTTTTAAAGAAGGCCGACCGGAGAGTGCAATTATCTTGTCATCTGAATGGTGAAATTTAGCTATTATTGGTCGTACACTACCTTGTATTTGTGAGCTTGGTACTCGGTGAGCCCTTACAATGTCACGTGGTACCCATACTTTATCTTTCACATTTGCATTTAAAATATTGATTACCTTATCTTTACATTTAGCAAACGTTTCACCAGTTTCCTCAGCAATTCCGTAAAATCTGACATTGTCCCGTCTACTAATCGCTTCCTGTTTATCTGCATCTTGATCCAAGATATCAAGTCGAGAAATAATTTGGTCTAGCTTGTTATCAATTTCAGCTACATCGATCCCGCATATATTTCCATTTTCGCTGATTTCACCAACTTCATTTTTCAGTTCACAGAGCGATTTATCTAACTTAGTTAGTCGTTCATCAAGTCGTGAATATTTCTTGCGCAGTTGGTTGGTAAAAATATAAACGATCGTTTAAGATAAATTCAGCTTTCCGCTAACAAAATTTGCAAAATGTGCAGAGAAAACACTTTTTCAGTTTCATTTCTATTCTCGTGGAAGAATAAACAAATTGAGGCTGAAGGGATGTCGAAAGTTATTCACGCTGATTGTTTGATGAGATTTGGAATTTTGCGTTTCACAATCCTTATTTGTGGGGGGGGGGGTCAGAGTAAGGTTTAAAATGGCTACCCCACACAGTAAATATCGAAGGGATGAACGGACACAAAATCGTGCGAGCAGACGATGTTTCTTGCATGGTAAAACAAAATATGATTTGCCAGAAAATCGACATGGTCGACAATAGTTACAACGCCCTCGCTGACGACTCAATGCTGAAGACTGTACCACAGTACCCCCACAGACTAAAGAAACTGTAATACCCGCGACATCAGTCATAGTAACAACCCATCAACACAACACAACTCAAGTGTATTAGAGAATTTTATTGTTTCATCGAACGAATACTCAGTTGTGTAATACAAGAACATTGTTTAAATTCCACAAATATATTCATCCAAATACAGTATCAGTGAATATAATTTAAAACAATTATTAAAAATTCAAGCCGCTTATCTGTAACAGTTTTACCGGTGTAGTCAATTTAATTTCCCTTTGAGGCTGTTAATTATTACTTGAGATTGACCAACACGACTGATAAAAAATGCATGTAATATTTTTCAAATTGTTTTCTAGTTGTCTGGTCACGAAGTTTTATGTTCTCTCGCTTCGTATCTCATCTGTCCTCAGGATAGCTAAACAATTTCAATAATATAGATAGTTTTCGCCATTTTGTCATGTATTTACTAAAACCTAACGTGTCTTTTTTTATTTTCATCGAAATATCGCTTTCATCTCACTTAATCTTTTAAATGACGCACACATGTTCAACCTTCGGATTTCTTTAATTATGCCTCCGCACAGCTTTCATAACATAAACTATATTGTGCATGACAACTTCTGATCTTCTGAACCTTACATTCACAAGAACACATGTAATCATTATGAAACAGGTGGCATCCTCACTTGTAGTCAGGGAGGATTTTTTGCCTACACATAAATTGTGAATGTTTACGTTATTAAAAGTTGCATAGAACACGAGGTAGTTACAATGTGACATTTATTTTTGTTTTTTTCTTTACAATCTTTATTTCCAACGAAACTGATTATATTCAGGCCGGTAGTCACGTGATATCAGACAGGGTGAAATAATTGTCAAACTTATTACAAATGCAGCAAAAATTAATTATCGCTTTTTATAACGGCTATTAAACCGTGTTTATATGCAAGCTGTTTTATACTCTCCAAGTGGTTATGGGCTTTTTACAGTAAAAAGTAAAAAGCCATGAGAAAAAGCAAGCCACATGTTATGGAAGAAAGCTTAGCAACACTGGCTGCTCCTACCCCGTCATCACTGGTAGTGGCGATTACCTCTGAGGTGACTGTCGTTGTAATGGATTTGACAGTACTTTTCACGCTGTCATCCTCCACGCAAAAATAGTTGGCCATAGCTCTACTTTGCTCGTCCAATCCCACTTCCATGTCAGATGCGTCTGGACATAACTCTCTCACTTTACCAGTCTCGCACGACACCATGGTTTTATAGGCACTGTAAATAACCCAAAAGTTATATGATATAGTACATGACGGTAGCAATGTAGACTGAAGCTGCAGCGCATCTTAGTCGGATCCAAGTTTAGAAGATAAATATGCTTTAATATATACCTACTGATAGATATTTTATTTCTCGTATAATGCCCATGTCATACATAAAAAATATCAAGTTGATTGGTTAAAGCATTCCTGAGAAACAAATGCCCGAAATTGTGGCTATTTTTGCCGCAAATGTGACTGGTATTTTTTTCTGATAAAAAAACTTTAGCCATACATGCTCCATGCAAAATATCAAGTTGATCGGTTAAAGTATTCATAAGAAACAAATGTTTCATAGTGTGGTAATTCCAAGAATCTGATCAAAATTATTTAATTTTTCTCTACAAAGCTGTGACCATATGTGGCGATAGTTAAATCGGGGTATTCGTCATCTGCGTATGCGTCATGGCCATAGCGTGTCAAATAAGCGTCTACCTATGTGCCTTGCGTTTTTAGCGTGTGTTGTTATCGTCGCTTGGGACTCAATTCCCGCGCATGCGCAGGTGAAGAACCCTTCGCTTCAAAGTAATACAACATATAAGTTGTACTAAATAATAATATAAATATAATAAAAGCTATAAAACGAAATTCACGCCGTGCATTACATCAGATTTTAAGTTGTGTTATTGTTTTCCTTTGTTTTGTTTTTGTTGGGTATGACCGTTTCTATATTGTCCGTTACATACTAGTTTGTCTTTTAATTCATGAAATTTGCGTACAACTGCAAATGTATACCTGCACAGAACAACACTATCAAGCTAGATTCTAGAGCCACGGGCAAGTGATATCATAGTTACTTACTCGCAAAGTCTGTCGTCAACCCTGTCCTCGTTAAATATAGCCATAAACGGAGCGTGGCACTCTTGACTGGCAGCGTCCATTCTATTGTCACAGCTTGAAACAGTGGTTGTAGGAGTCCAGTCAGTGGTTACACCACTCGAACAGAATATAATTGAGTAGAATGCTGTTGCTTCGATGACCGGGTCCAGGGACTGCGTAATCATGGTTCCAATCATATCGCCGTCATCTAAACCAGCGAGACATTTGTCGCGCGCGGTAGACAAACACGTTCCAAGATCTGTCACCTTATCTCTGTGGGAAGACAAGAGATGATAACATTTATGCAAAATGAGGTACTACAGTGAGAACAAAATTCAGAAAATCCCAAAGCGTATTGTGAGATGAAGAGTCATTCATTACAGGGGGAACATTATTGAACAATTTTATGAATGAATTTAATTTTACACGGTTTCACACTTTGTCCTTTCAATTTGCACCGTGGGAGTATTCATATAACCTCCTAATTATTATGTGACATGTTTGATGAAGAATGCGAGTTTATTTTCTATCGCGCCCTAATGTTTGACTAGACCTTTTCGGCTTCCCAGGATTTGCCTTTGTTTAGAATTTCTTGGCCTAGATTTTCAGTCTGCGTTCCTTGCGTATATAGTTGTTGTTTCTGTTTGGCAGCGGTAAGTTATACCTCAGACCACTGAAAAGTAGTTGTCTGAGGTTGTACCAGCTCATATTACAGTCTCATAATTAATGAAATGTTTTATCTATGCTGTGTACCGCCGGCCAAACACGCTCGTTTTCATCAAGTGTTGAAGTAGAAAATAAAAATGTGTATCAAATAGAAATTACTCTTTTATAACGTATTGTATTATTTCCAGTGCTCTCCTTCTGTTGACCAGAATTGTAACTGCATACTACATAGTGTTAGGCAGGGTTGTGTCATTAGCCCAATGCTTTTTAATTTGTTTATTAATGACTTAAATAAATCACTAGAAGATGAATCATTAGATCCGGTTACATTGAATAACTGTAAAATTAGTTCCCTACTCTATGCAGATGATCTAGTGTTAATATCTGAAACAAAAAACGGTCTACAAAATGCACTAAATAGTTTAGAAGTTTATTGTCATAAATGGAAACTTCAGGTAAATCTGACAAAAACAAAAGTTGTTATTTTCAGACGAGGAAAACTGAAAAAGACAGAAAAATTCTATTATAATGAACAAAATATTACCTGTATAGATATGTACAACTACCTGGGTAT